CCTACAGTATCCCCTGTGTCTATATGGAAGTCGAAAGAGGACAGGATCAGGCTCAATTGTGATGCCCGCCCATGAACAAATAGCCTGCTGACACTTACTGGGCTTATGCATGAATAATAGCTGCTTGGACAAGGTATTGGAGGATAGCCAACACTGTGTAGAACCACACAAGAGCATCAGCCTTTGCGAAAGGAGGGAATAGAATTGGTGGAGAAACACAAATCTCAAATGGAACAGCGTTCAATGGAGTTTGTGTATGGCGTTGCTGACTGAAAGTACAGCAATGTGCCTGGTGCTGTGTTTTGGAAACATGAATGTACAAAATGTCATCTTATTGCTGTCTGCCATAACAAGAGGAGAAAAAGCCACATGGAGCTTGTTGCTTCCAATCAGAGCTACCCCACTGTGAAGATGTACTGTAAAAGCAGGAAACACTGCTGTGAATCAAAGCTTTATTGGCTACAACTGGTGGGAAAACTGCAAGTGATGTGCTGGGATAATTATCACCAGTGATAATCACTGATCCCTCTGACTTTTAGGAATGGATGTACATCTGATCTCTCAGTAGTTTGAAAATGAAAATATTTCCAACAGATTAACATAATAATCCTTACATTTGATATCTCATCACATATAAATGTCTCAAAACGTTTCCCATTATTTTGTAATGATTGTACATTTATACGTGAATATGGCACGTGATTCGGCTACAGTAGTGTCCCTTTTCTTTTCAAATAGTGCCATAGGATGTTGAATGTTCCCCTGAACAGCCAGATAGGACCTCGGTTTAACATTTCATCTGCAGAATGACAAGTGCAACAGTGCAGCAACCCCCAGCACTGTGTTAGTGTCAGCCTGGACTATGAGCTCAAAGTTCCGATCTGAGATTTGAAGTTACAACCTTCTGACTCAAAGGCAAAACCAAATGGTGACAAATGAGCCAGGCGGGCACAAAATATGATTCCTATCGCTTTATAAGTCGACATAAAGTATACCTGATTCCTCATTTTTTTATGGATGGATATACAATATATTCTTCAGTGGTTTACAGATTAATATTCCTCACTGAACGTTTAAACATATACACCAAACTACTAGACGTCAATCCATTCAGAAACTCTCCAACTTTACTGCCTGAGTAGCCTGTTAAAAGCTGTAACATCTGAAGTGAGCTTCAGCAGCCAGTAACACAAACAGACGTTTTTACCAGTTGTAGTATCTATGCTTGAATTCCAGATTACAATTCTGGAATTCTATTCTTCAACAACTTGAAGATGTTGTGTTTCATTCCAGTGAGCGTGCTTGGTGGGTCCACTAAATGCTCTGATTAATGCCAAATACCTGCAAAAGAATTGTTTTGCTTTTACATGCTCTGCATGGTTTCCCAATTGCATAATTCGTATTTTGTCCTTGCAACACGCAGTGTGCAGCGCGAGATAGTTGCAGAATATGAGGTAGTAACGATGCCACCGAGGAAGCAGAGGTTTCAAATCCGGTCTCAGTGAAAAGGTGGCGATTGAGTTCCAAACAATGAGCAAATAATGGTATACATCGTCAGTCAAAATAATCAGTCAACCACTTCGGTCCTTACATCTTGGGAATGTTATTTTTGTAACTTACATGATATTAATGCTATGATGGTGGTCCTGGAGACCATTGAACGGCTAGTGAGAGAACACATATTCAGTTAAAGATGATACATCTTTCGCCCACAAAATATAAAGTCAATTTACTTTACAGTATATTCTGTGAAGTGCTTTGAGACATCTCGGAGATGTGTTAAGGCATTATATCAAATGCAAGGGTTATTATTATGTCTACACTTCCTAGTACAGTACTATTATAGAATAAATAGATCATCAAAGGTTTGCTTATGTAACAGGAAAATATCTCTACCCAATACTGTACTATGTCACATCGACCAAAAATTATCATTTTGAATCCTGGTCTTTGCTGAGTTAGTTAAGTTCAACCAGAGCATTACTGGGCACTTCAATTGCTCACAGTGCCCCTGGGTCAGGGAGGTGGAACATCAGCCAAATTGGGCATTGGGCAAAGATAGAAATAGGCTTAGCTGTGGTTGGTAGCAGTCAGCTGATAGCACTCTCACCATTGGATCAGAAGGTGCTGGGTTTCTGTCCTGTCTTGGGGACTTTGAGCTCACGGTCTAGGCTGAGACTGCAGTGCGATGTTGGGAGAGAGCTGCATTGTTCGATAAGACATTGAACCACATTCTGTCTGCTTGTTCAGAGGGATGTCACTGTACAAAACTCATGACATTTTCAAAAGTGAGTTTCTCCCAGTGCCATAGCCAATAATCCTCTAGTTAATTGGTAATTCACTTCATGGTTGTTTGTGAGACATTGTTGTGTGAATTGTCTGCCATGTTTGCCTATGCATGTACAGTAGCTTCATATTTTAATGCAGCATAAGAGTTGGTGCTGACCCACACAGACCAGGAAAGTTCAAGGTCTGTGATTGTTGTTCTCAGCTGGGGCAGTATCAGTGGTGCAACAATTGGTCTATGCTCTGCATGAGTTACCGAGGGAGAAAAACACCTAGTGTTCCCACTCCTGAAAGCTGTTTAGTGCTCCTACTGGAAACTGCAAGTGTGGCCATTGGGTGAGGACAGCATCAGGCTTGGTTGCGATATCCCACATTGTGGAATAACCTGAAAACACCCACAGTCTGGACTTACATTTGAAGAAGAATCAGCTCTTGGGTGAGGCACTAAAGGGTATCAGTGACCATAGAAGCTTACCCCAGATAAAAGGAAAATGGAGTCAGATACATTCAAAAAGAGGAGAGGAGAAAATTAACCCATGATTAGAGCAGAAATCACTGGGAGCGGGGATTCTTCCCACTCGGCTCCTGTTAGCCCTGCAAGTCAAAGGTCTAATGGGTAGTGTGGTCCTATCTTTACAATTAATAAGAACCTTGCTGGTCAGTGCTCTCAATGGAAAGCTATGTGCTTTTAGTTGGTTAAGCTCCAACAGTATCTCAATACACACCGAAGGATCCCAAGCCTTGGCTCTTGCCAAACTTGACTAACATTCTCTGGAATTATTTAAGCAGGGTGCGTTCTTCCAGGGAGGCAGTGTGCATTCCATTCCAGACATGGGAAATTTCCATGTGTAAGCCCTTTACGTATGTGGAACTCTCAGTCTGATTTGGATACTCTTAAGCAAGTGATGGGTTTCCACATGTGTCAGACACCCAGCTGTCCAAAAATAATTAATAGGAATAGTCTGACTGTTTCATTAACACTTTTAAAAACTGAAAAGGATATTGTGTACATCTTAATTTTTTACAACAAAATTTATATGCAAAATGCAGGCATTAAAAGGATGTGGAGTCCTGTAGTGTACTGGTTAGAGCACTCGCCTTGCAAGCAAGAGGGTCTGGGTTCGATTCCCGGGCAGGACAAAACATTGGATAAGTTTTCTTTCTCCAGACGCTGTTTACCTATCAGTAAATAGGAATTCTGTTGTTAGTCAATTGGCGTATCGCTTTCACAAGTGAAATCACCCTTTTTTAAAAAATTTGGTGACTCAATCCACAACTATTTGTGGAACACTGCTTACGCAATTGGCTGATGCATTTCGCCCACAAAATATAGTCAATTCACTTTACAGTACATTCTGTGAAGTGCTTTGAGACGTCTCAAAGACGTGATAAGACGTTAGAGCAACATTGCAAGGATTATTATTATTAAAATAAATATCCCTGCTTGATGCAAATATTTTCATCTGATAAATAGAAATCTGTTATGACCGGGCTTATGGTCATCTCCTCCCTCCAACCGGCTCGGCATCAGGCTCTGCCACTGTTAAGCAATCCGAGACTCTGCCCGTGCAGGGGGCTATATAAATACAAGTTGTTTTAAACTTTACACAAATTAGTTTTGAATCCCTGTGGAGAATGATTATATTTCACCTGAATTTGGGTGCTGGTTTGGGATTCATGTGATCTCATGTTTACTCTTCGTGCTGCCCACACTGGCTCCATGAGCTGTGCAGTGTGGAATTGCCAGCCGGATTTACAAAGAGTATTTTCATTTTTCACAGAACAAGGCAGGAGGTTTCCATCAGCTGCTCATACCCCACTGATGCCAATCTCCTACTCCAAAATCCAGGCAACTCCCACGTCAAGATGTGGGAGCTTTGACGCTTTGCTTCTTAATGAACCAAGCAACTTTTCTTGCTGTTTCAGACTTGACAGACAAAATTCACCACAAATGTGAATTTGCAGCAGTGCTGAACAAGAAATACTCAGCATAGATTATAACCAAAACAGGCATCATCAATAAAGGATTCCTTGTTATGTGCTGCATTACCTTATTAATAAGGTATGGCAGTGGTGTTTTGCCCACAAAATACACAGTCAATTGATTTTACAGTATATTCTGTGCAGCGTTTTGAGACGTCTCAACAATGTGATAAGGCGTTATATCAAATGCAAGGATTATTATTGTTAATACACTGACTTCAAACCAACAAGACACACACACACACACGTACACACATAAATTTCCAGGATACTTTCGGAGCTGGCGATGTGGAAATGAGTGTTGGAATGTGCGAATTTCAATCCAGCGATGTTTTGATGTTTGGCATTTGTTTCCCGAAATGAATATGGGTTCAACAAAGCCAAAAGGAGTAAATGGGAGAGAGAAAGAGAGAGAGAAAGAGAGAGAGAGAGTTCAGTGACTGTAATAATAATCCTTGCATTTGATATAGCGCTTTTCACGTCGGGAGGACGTCCCAAAGCGCTTCACAGAACACACTGTAAAGTGAATTGACTGCATATTTGTGGGCGAACGCGGCAGCCAATTGCGCACAGCAATGTCCCACAAACGGTCGTGGATTGAAAATGACCAATTTATTATTGCTTTTGGTTTTGGAGGGATTATTGCCCTGTGTGTGTGTGTGTGTGTGTGAGTGAGAGTGAGTGAGAGAGTGAGTGAGTGAGGCGGTGCAGAGCAGAGGGAGAGGAGGGAGGGAGGGAGTGGTTTCTCTGCTGGGATCCTGGACTCAGATTGAGTGTGTGGGTTGGAGCAAATGAGATCAGAGTCGATGTGAGTGGATCGGAGGCGATACACACACACAACACAACACACACAGGGACAGAGCTTTCCTCAGAGCCTGAACCACAGCAGAGAGCGCACACGGCATCCACCGAGTGCATTGCTCCCCATCCCCTCTGTGTGAACACCGGGACGCACAATGCGGTGCTATAGTACTTTAAGGTGACTTGGATTTTCCAGCTGCAACTTAACGGGACTGCGAAGGAGTTGGAGAGGGAGTTGGAGAAGGAGGAGGAGGAGGAGGGGGAAAAAAATACCAAAGACTACTTCCAAGATTTGAAGGACTTTTGTCGTGTCACCGTGTGTGTGTGTGTGTGTGTTTTTATTTTGCTTTTTTTTAAAACAACAAAAAAAAAGGTGACATCTCGATGCGAGAAGCCATGATCCTCACACGTAAGTGAAGCGCCGCTCCGTTGTGCGGTGGGGGTTTGGGGGGGGTTTGGTGGTGGGGGTTGAGGGGGGTTGGGGGTTTGGGGGGGGTTTGGGGGGGGGTGAGGGGGGGTTGGCGGTGGGGGTGAGGGGGGGTTGGCGGTGGGGGTTGAGGGGGGTTGAGAGGGGGTTTGGCGGTGGGGGTTGAGGGGGGGGGGGGGTGTTGGCGGTGGGGGTTGAGGGGGGTTTGGCGGTGGGGGTTGAGGGGGGGTTTGGCGGTGGGGGTTGAGGGGGGTTTGGGGGGTGTTTGGTGGTGGGGGTTGAGGGGGGTTTGGGGGTGGGTGGGGGGGTTGAGGGGGGGTTTGGCGGTGGGGGTTGAGGGGGGTTTGAGGGGGGGTTGGCGGTGGGGGTTGAGGGGGGGTTTGGGGGGTGTTTGGTGGTGGGGGTTGAGGGGGGTTGGGGGGTTTGGGGGGGTTGGGGGGGTTGGGGGGTTTTGAGGGGGGGTTTGGCGGTGGGGGTTGAGGGGGGGTTTGGCGGTGGGGGTTGAGGGGGGGTTGGCGGTGGGGGTTGAGGGGGGGTTTGAGAGGGGGTTTGGCGGTGGGGGTTGAGGGGGGGTTTGGGGGGTGTTTGGCGGTGGGGGTTGAGGGGGGGTTTGGCGGTGGGGGTTGAGGGGGGTTTGGCGGTGGGGGTTGAGGGGGGTTTGGGGGGTGTTTGGTGGTGGGGGTTGAGGGGGGGTTTGGGGGGTGTTTGGTGGTGGGGTTGAGGGGGGTTTGGCGGTGGGGTTGAGGGGGGGTTGAGGGGGGGTTTGGCGGTGGGGGTTGAGGGGGGTTTGAGGGGGGGTTTGGCGGTGGGGGTTGAGGGGGGGTTTGGGGGGTTTGAGGGGGGTTTGGTGGTGGGGGTTGAGGGGGGTTTGAGGGGGGGTTTGGCGGTGGGGGTTGAGGGGGGTTTGGGGGGTTTGAGGGGGGTTTTGGGTGGTGGGGGTTGAGGGGGGTTTGGCGGTGGGGTTGAGGGGGGTTGGGGGGTTTGAGGGGGGTTTGGCGGTGGGGGTTGAGGGGGGTTTGGGGGGTTTGAGGGGGGGTTTGGTGGTGGGGGTTGAGGAGGGGTTTGGCGGTGGGGACCCCCCCAATGGCACAGAGTAAACCCCTCCCCACAACCGGGACAGGTTTTAACCTTTTTTTTGGCTGCGCTCCCGACACCTTTTAACGTCGTCAAAACCCATCGCCGCAACTTTACGGTCGAAGTCATCAGCAACTCAGCCCCACGGCGGGAAGTGCACGTTGTAAAGTTATTGTATCATTGTAAAGTTAGTGTCGGAGCACTGACCGGGGGACGGCTTTCGGGTCCACACGACGGGGCTTTGGGTCTTGTGTCCTGACTCGATGTGAGTCGCTATGCGGTGTTGCCAACATTTTAATAGTTTCTCCACTTGGCTTATTGACTCCTGTTACCTCTCCCTCTCTCCCCCCCTCCCCCTGAGGGGGTGTGTGTGGGTGTGTGTGTGTGATCAGAAACACAGGCTGTGTGTGTGTATGTGTGTGTGTGGTGGTGTGTTTGTGATCAGAAACACAGGCTGTGGGTGTGTGTGTGTATGATCAGAAACACAGGCTGTGGGTGTGTGTGTGTGTGGTGGTGTGTGTATGATCAGAAACACAGGCTGTGTGTGTGTGTGTGTGTATGATCAGAAACACAGGCTGTGTGTGTGTATGTGTGTGTGTGGTGGTGTGTGTATGATCAGAAACACAGGAGGTGTGTGTGTATGTGTGTGTGTGTGTGTGTGGTGGTGTGTGTGGTGGGGGAGGGTGGTGTATGTGGACTGGGGGCTGTTGCTGTTTGGTGACCAAAGGCTCTGAGGTTTGGCGACCTTCAGAGTCCATTTGGCGTTGAACGATGTCAGGTCAGCGGCACGCGGGGCAGCGCGTAACCCTCAGCCAGAGCTACACCAGCCCAGACCCTCAACACACACATCTGAGAGTCCTCGGGGCTCGGGGTCACCACTGATGTGTTTGCTGCCTCTGGTCCGGCTCTGGGTCGTGTCCAGTCTGATCGCCAATCCCAAGTGGGAGTTTTCTTTGCAAAATGGTATTTTGGGGTGTTTTTTTTTAGAAAAAAAACCACCAGTCGAAAGAGGTAAAGATGTAAACGTGAGAAATAATTTGGAAAGTTTGGAACTAATCAGCGGTGTGTTTTTGTGTGTATTTTGCGTGCGTGTGAATGTATCATCTCATTTCGGTTTAAGGTTTAAGTTTGTGAGAGCATGTGTGTGGGGGGGTGGGGGGGGTTGGAACCTTCAAATAAATTGCTTTGGTTTGATATCAGTAAGAAAGCAAGCGATTGAACAGTCTGGTAAATGTTTCTGTGCTGCTATGTTTCCATTGACTTTCTGTGAAGTTAGGGCTTGGTGTTTTGCCACTGTGAGAGGGTTATACATGGGAGGGGCTCGGGGTCAAACAGGACCCCTCCTGTAGGCAGTGAGATCAGACAGGGTGACTTTGATCAGAGAGCCCTGTCCCAGCTACTGCTAGCAACATGGCATCAGCAGCACATAGAGACTCAAAACAAACAAACATTACCCGCTGTCCGGCTTCCTCCAGCCTTCCTGCAGCCCACCCCTCACTGCCAGTCCCCTTCCGACAGGTACTGCAATCAGATAGCCACTTCTGATGATGCTCACCAGTTTTACTATAATAATAATAATAATAATCCTTGCATTTTGATATGGCGCCTTATCACATCGTTGAGACATCTCAAAGCGCATCACAGAATGTATTGTGAAGTGAATCGGCTATTCACTCTTTCCCGGAATATGAATCTGTTATTTTTATGTACATTTCCAATAAAAGCTGCCAACTTGACAGGCTTTTTTTTTTGACATCCATCTCCTTGTTTTCAGTGTAACTCTTGTTACTGATTTTGTAGAAATTGGCAAGTGAGATGAGTATCAGCAGGTCTCCCACAACCAAACCACGTCGCAATTATAGTAAAACTGAAACCACAGTGCGATTTAAAAAAAAACTCTGATGGACTTTGATTACAAAATTGCTGCTTATCCCATCTAAGCTGTTAAGCAACATTTTATCTGTCCCTGATGATGATGATAATAATAATAATAATAATAATCCTTGCATTTGGTAAAGTGCCTTATCACGTCTTCTAGACGTCTCAAAGCGCTTCACAGAATATACTGTAAAGTGAATGGACTGTACATTTTGTGGGCAGAATTACGCACAGCAGTGTCCCAGAAACAGTAGTGGATTGAGTGACCAAACTATTATTGTTTTTTTCTTGAGGGATTATTATCAGGCATGTGGAGTAAAGAAACTTGCCCAAGGTTTCGCCCTGCCGGGAATACAAACCCAGGTCTATCGCTTGCGAGGCGAGTGTTCTAATCACTGAGCTACAGGACTCCTACTAAAGATGCAGTACAGGAGAGCAGACTTGAATACCAATTTGTGGTGAGGTTGCTGATCTCAGCTCGGCAGCATTTTAGAACACTTGGCCCCTGTGTTCCTGGTTTAGAGAGAGAGAAATAAGCCAAGATGCCATCATACTCCTGGTCACTTTCCAGAGATCTCCTACTGGAAGTATATGAGTGTGTGTGTGGATCCTGGATGAGAAAAGGACTGGGCACAGTTTATGATGCCACCCCGTGGTCAAATACCCTGTCCACACATTGATGATTTAACTTTTACATAACCAATAATCACACACTCAAGGTACTAGAAGGTGACCTATACCCATGGTCCCAGATCTCAGCAGAAAGAAAACAACTCACGATGCCTTCAGGAGATGACAACATTTCACATATTTTAAAGCAAAAAATATATGTTTGAGTAGAGGCATAAAGAGCTGCCTTCCCCACTCCAGTGATTTTTTTTGATCGGCTAAATATTTTGACTTCCGCAAAAATCCATCGCCACGTTTAGTATCCACATATACTACTTAGTTTCACATTTGCGTGGAAATTTCCATTTGTCGGGAATGGACTGCACATTCTTTTCCCGGAGAGACACACCCTCCTACCTAATCCTGGAAAGTATTAAGCACAGGTTGGCAAGAAGCAAGGGTTGGAATGGAACGGATACTATAACCAGTTCTGTTGCATCCCTGTTTAAAATAAAGTACCTGATACACCACGTGGTGGAGTGGATATACCACATGGTGGTGTAAGATTATGAGGCAAGGGCTTTCTTGCTGTTTATAGTCCTGTGACACCAGTGGCATAACTGGCATCATGACCATGTTATTCACGTCAGAAGATGTCATCGCATTGCTTGCAGACCGCATTGTTGTGATGCAAATTCACTTCATCAGTGTTTGTAGGACACTACTGCTTACAAGTTGACTGAAACGTTCACCCACAAAATACAGTCATTACATTTTACAGTATGTATAGGTGAAACACTTTGAGACGTTATCCGAATGTGAAAGATGCTATATTAAATGCAAGGATTTGTGTTTGAAGTTTCTTATGGTGAATTCTGTGGTGTGGGTTTAGGGCTGCCTGTTCCACTTTAACTTTACACTAGTACTTGTAATTACAATAATTGCAAAACTGTGTGAATGATAAATTAATTACAATTGAATTATTTGAGAATTCATGCAATATTTATCAGTGCATAGCTGGCAATTTTTTAACATTGTACAGAGTCTACCATCAGTGCTGTGGGACAGATTATTTTTGCCTATTGGTGGCATCATAAACCAGTACCCAGTCCTGTCCTCACCAGCAGGGATCTCTGGTAAGCACTTAGCCTACATTCTCACAGCAACTCCACTTTACAATATATCCTGTGATGTGCTTTGAAACGTCTCCTCCTGATCTGAAATGCCATGGCAAATGTAAGGATTATTATTGTGACCAAATGCGCTACATGGAAAACATGGAGCAGAATAAGCCCTTTTATATCCACTAAAATCATGCAGATCCCTTTGTAAAATACTGTACCCACATGTTTCCTTTTACTTCCATTTTCAAAATGTACTTTTGTAACTGAGCCAACCGGATTGTCACATTCCTCCATCTG